CCCTGGACACTACTACAGGTCAAGCCTCTGATAACAAATACGAGGTTACACAAGCAGCCAATTAGACTCGATTCCCACATTCACACCACTCAGACCTTGCATCCAATAGTCAGCATTCACACCACACAGCAGCTGCTTATGAAGTCTCCATTGCTGGGTAATGGAATCTGCCTACTTCCCCAGGGCACGGGAACACCAAATTCCCCGGGCAAGAGCTATAACCAATGTCCCAGCAACAACAGCACTTGTATTGTATGTGGAATTCCACAAGCAATCATTTTATAACAGACACACTTAACAATCACAAAGATGACAACAACGAAAAACCAGTTTGGACGTTTACTTGTCACATGATCCTACCAGGCCCCTTCCTAGCAGCTAACTGCAAATGCCCCACAATACATTTTTGTTGTGATGATTTTTCCAAAGTATTCCAAAGCTTACATTCCTGAGCACATTATAGCCTCACTCCTGCAAGATTTCACCTGTGAGGTTCTTGGAATTCTCAGGATACCACCTCAAGTGGGACCCTGCTCCCAAGGGTTGTCCTCCCACAAGGATCGCCATGACCGAACCTCCAGCTATGGATCCACCCTCAACGGGAGCACCCTCGCTCCTTCACCCTTCAAGACGTGTAGAGTTTAAACATTGCCAAATGAAAATAGGAGCCAACAGAAAATGCAATAGAACAGGAAGCACTCTTCCCCAGACACAAACCCGCGGATAACCCGAGGGCAGTTCTGTCTGGGTGCCTTTAAAATCTGTAGATCTACAGCAGCGAACAGCAGAGCTAGCCCTTGTAGAACTTAACCTAAGGAAGCAAAGAGAACCAGCAGAAAGCGATGCTTCATTAGCATAACAATACGCAGCCCCCATCCCTGCCCCCCTCCCCCAGGTGCAGATGTGCCATGAGAACGAGCTGTGAAACTGCCCAAGGCCCGGCAGCCGGCTCGGGGCGTGCTCGCTGTGGGAATTGCTGCCTGCACCTGAGGCTGTGCCGAAGCGGCCAGAGCCTGGCTGGAAGCCGTCCGGGCAGCACGGCGGTGGCAGGAGGAGCAGCGAGGCCGTGCTGCGGCCAGCTCCGGGCTGAGGGCACTCGGCAGCCACTGCTCTCCGCGACACCCAGGAGCCCGGTTGCCCGCACCAGAGGCGGGAGCAGCCTGCTCCGCACCCAAGGTAGGAGCCCTTCGCGTCTCGTGCTGAGGAGCGCACGCTTCCTGTCCCCTGCCAGCAGCAGCGGGAAGGGAGCGGGGAGCGGGGAGCGTCACCGGGCGGGGCGGCACTGGCACTGCTGTAGCCCAGGTGGGAGCGCGGTCCCGACTCCAGCTCCTGCCCAGCACAGCAGGTTTGCTGGGCCAGACGGGCTGCAACGAGGCGAGTAGCGGTTCCTAGGCGTGTTGCAGCTCGGCTTGGGCTCCGAGGGGCGCAGGAAGGGGTTGGAGCTGGGACAGACAGCATGTGAGCAGAGGGCCTGAGCGTGCTCTGCTGCCCGGTTGTCTCTCTGTAACACAGCCCAGCTGGGACTGCGTTTCTCTCTCTGGGCCACGGGAGACACGAAATGACCTCGCTCTGCACGCATGCATTGATTACTGGAAATTTCAACTCCCCGGTGCCTTCTTTTGAGTGTCAGAACCTGAAGCCTCCAAGGGGGGAATTTCCACTCCCCTTTCCCTTCCCGAGCACCCCGCAGTTTCCCTTCGGGGACCCAGCAGGCAACATCTGCCTTTAGCGGGCCTTTCAGGCTTACCTTTTGTGTGCGTAGCGCTGGGCTGATGGCTCACCTGGGGTTGTGCAAACCCTTCCCAAGGCTTTTGTTCAGGCTGTCCCGGCAGCTGCCGGTGCCTTCAGCGCTCACCTGCGGGCCCTGTGTACGTCTAGCATCTGAGCCCCGACACTGGGCTGTGTAATAGAGGCTGAAAAGCTGGCAACCTGTGGGCTGACTGGAGCACACGTTGAGAACGTGTGCAGTAAAGTGTCAGTAAAGTGCAGCCCAGGCTGCCTCGTGCAAAGGGCGCACGGTGCTGAGAACCGTGCCCTGAAGTGAGCGCGGTGTGCGTGCGGAGCTGAATGGGAAGCGGCGCCCCATGGTGGGAGAGCATGGAGATGCCGCCGTCGAGGCAATGTTTCTGCAATGAGGGACGTGGGCTTTTTTATCTTGGAGAAGAGAAGGCTCGGGGAGACCTCCTTGTGGTCTTCCAAGACTTGGAGGAAACGTATAAACTGGAGGGGAACGGCTGTTTACAAGCGTGGATAGTGATGGGATATGGGGAATGGTTTTAATTTGAGACAGAGGAGATTATTTTAGATATCAGGAGAAAGTATTTCACTTTCTGAGTGTGTGCACAAGAGCAGTTTGCCCATAGAAGACATGGATTCCCCATCCTTTATTGTGTTCGAGACCAAGCTGAATGTGGCTCAGAGCAGACTGGTATGCTGGACGGTGTCTCTGCACGTAGCTGTTTGTTTTCAACCCCGGGTACTCTCTGATTCTGTGATTACCTTCAGATAATCACTCTAACAAAGCACCTTAGAGAAGCTCACAAAGCTCCAAACCAACCATGAGTCTCTTACAGAAGATCTGTGTCAGCAAGGTGTGTTGACATGAAGCTGAGTGGCATTTCTGTACAGGTATGAAATTGAGACCCATCCCTGATTGTGGGGAGATCCTGTCGTGCAGCCCATTGCTGTGCAGGAGAGCTCAAGGGGCACTTGGGCTGCTCCCTGTTTAGGGGTAAGATGACTGTCTCCTTGCTATGCATTGTCTTTAGGCACACAGTCCATGTACTCTCACCTGTTGAACCGGGTGTCAGTTCTTTGTGCCACCCAGTTGGAGTCAGCTTTGTGATTTGTAATCAGCTTCAGCCAGAGCGTTACCAGTGCTGTTGCTGCTTGTGTTCCTGTGCAAGGCCTGCTGTGCCATCCCCCAGGCAGTGCCCTGCAGATGGGCTGTGGAGGGCTGGGCTGGGACAGGGACTGCTGCGTTCCCTCACAGCTCCCCTGCCATTTCTCTTGTCCCTGCAGGCTCCAGTGAAACTTCTGCCTTCCAGCTGTGATCATCTCAGCTGCAGGAGAGCAGCAGATGGCCACAGCACATCCATCTCAGGTAGGGGCTGGGAGAAGCAGGCAGGAGAGGCCGAGGGGTGAAGGATGTGAATGCAGGGGGAGAGGGAGGTGGCCTCAGCCAGCGTGTGTGTGCTGGGGCCAGAGAAGCGGCTGGGACGGGAGTTTGTGTCCTGTGTGAGCTGCTTCCCTGGGCCTTGGCTGTTCCCAGCAAGGAGCCTCTTTGCTTGCAGGAGCCCGTGAGCTTTGCGGAGGTGGCCGTGTCTTTCAGCAGGGAGGAGTGGGCGCTGCTGGACCCTGCGCAGCGAGCGCTGTACCGGGACGTGATGCTGGAGACGTACCAGTGCGTGGCCTCGCTGGGTGAGGGCTTTGCTGCCTTTCCTCCTCGTTAGGGCACCTTAGGCTGTGCAGAATGAGCCTCTGCAGGCTGGAGTTAGTAAAATTGCCATGTAGTTACATATTGACAACTACAACAGCAACAAAGGAAAGACTGAGAAGCATGACTATCAGAATGGGTTAGTATGCGCAACAGACTGATAAAAGCCCCAGTGTCAGTTTTGGCAAGCAAGCATCAGCCTGGAGCAGGAGAACCAGCTCCCTGCAAACAGCCCTTGTGTTGCTGCATTGTATGGTGCCTCCAGCCCCAACAGACAGACCAATTTCAGGTTGTTACTTCTGCATTTGTTGCCTCTATTTTCCATTCATGGAATCATTGAATGGCAAGGTTGGAAACAACCTGCAAGATCATCTAGTCCATTCCCATGAACATTCTTGAAGCCTTGGGCACTGAGCTGTTTGGAAAATACTAAAGGAAACATTCTAATGGGTATGTGATTGCCCACTGTTATTATGTCCCTAACCTTGTTTTCACCATGGTGATGGATCTACTGCAAAGTTGCTGGTCAAGTGGCTGTGCCAGATTCTGGGAAACACTCTTATCTCCATATTTCTTCCATTGAAGCTCCACCTCGAGCCCCCAAACCCATGGTGATCTCCCTGCTTGAAGGAGGGGAAGAGCCCTGGATTCCAGATGTGCGTAGCCCTGAGGCCGTGCCAGGAGACCTCAGCCCAGGTGAGGTGGTGGAGGGAAGGAGGAGTTTGGGTCTGGAAGAGCCATCTCTGTCTGTGTGTTATTTTGGGCACTGTGTGCTATTTCTGGATTTCCTCTTTCATCCAGCAGGAACTGGGATTGCAGATGTACTGGAGGATCTGCAGGAAAGTGGTGTGGCCGAAAGGCGGTGGGGTGGTGTCTGTGTGGAAGAAATCAGAAGGGATGTCCAAGGAGGCCTGGAACAAGGTCAGGGTGAGCAGATCATGGAGCCACTGGGAAAGGGTCTGGGAAAGACAGGGAGGAGCCCGTTGGACTTCAACATAGGTCAGAGAGAGCCTGAAGAACCCAGGAGCAAGAATGTGAGCCAGAAGAAAAGGCAGAATCCATGCACTGAGTGTGGAAACAGCTTTGAAAAAGATTCCATCGTTGTTAACCACCAGTGCATGCGCTCAGCAATGAGTGCAAACAAGTGCTCTGATTGTGGGAAGAGCTTCAAATGGAGATCCCTCCTCATTGTCCACCAGCGTGTCCACACAGGAGAGAGACCCTACAAGTGCTCTGAGTGTGGGAAGAGCTTCAAAAGCAGTTCTGATGTGAAGAAACATGAGCGCATCCACACAGGAGAGAGACCCTGCAAGTGCTCTGAGTGTGGGAAGAACTTCAAAAGGAGATCCCACCTCATCTCCCACCAGCGCCACCATACAGAAGAGAGACCCTACAAGTGCTCTGAGTGTGGGAAAACCGTAAAAACCCGTTTCCACCTCACGTACCACCACCGCTTGCACACAGGAGAAAGACCCTACAAGTGCTCTGAGTGTGGGAAGAGCTTCAAAAGTTGTTCTGATTTAAAGCGCCACCAGCGCATCCACACAGAGGAGAGACCATATAGGTGTCCTGAGTGTGCAAAAAGCTTCAAAAGCAGTTCTGAATTGAAACGCCACCAGCGCATCCACACAGGAGAAAGACCCTATAAGTGTCCCGAGTGCGGGAAGAGCTTCAGAAGGAATTCTGAATTGAAGAGCCATCAGCACATGCACACTGGGGAGAGACCCTTCAAGTGTCCTGAGTGTGAGAAAAGCTTCAAACGCAGGTCTAATCTCAACACCCACAAGCACATCCACAGCGCACAGAGGCTGTAAAACATCCCCAGCATACAGGGAACCTTCAAAAGCAGTTCCAGCCTCATTACCTACCAACACAGCCACACAAGATACAGAGCCTGCAGAGCACCTGTCAGTGGTTTATGGGCTGGTTTGGCCCAGTTCCGTGACCAGCGGGTGGAGGGATTTCGCAAAATCTGTGCCTCTGGAAAAAAGGGAAACGGGACCCCAAAAAAATTAAAAACAGTGGGAACGACCTGAGGAGAAACAAACTGAGGTACCAGAGTGTCTGCACTTGGATGGAGTCCAATCCGTGCCTGCACCAGTGAGTTCACGTGGCAGGAAGCCTTAGAAATGCCTCAAGTGTGAGAAGGGCTTTGTGCAGAGTGCAGAGCTCCTCACTCACAGGAGATGGCACTCGTGGAAGAAGTGCTACAAATGTCCCATGTGTGGGCAGAGCTTTTGCCAGGGGATCCACTCAGTGCAGAGACCCTAGAAATGCCTGCACTGCAGGAAGAGCTTCATCCTGAGCTCAGTCGTCATTAAACATTGTCCAGTCCGTGTGATAAAGTGGCCCTGCAAGTGTCTCTGGTGCAGGAAATTTCCCTCTGAGCTGGCACCTGCTTTCTCATGGGGAAACCCCCTACAGAGAGACCTTACGAATGTTGGTGAGCCCAAGGATGGGGGAGACCCCAATGATTCTCCCCACACAGGAGGAGTTTGCAAAGGAGATGGCATCACTGGCACCCTCTGCAGAATGGATTTAACCCAGGAGCTTCCGATGGGCCTCTCTTTGCTACCCAAATCCTGTTTTCCTCTTCTGCTCTTACTGCCAGCAGCTTTTTGATGCCGTTTCCTAAGGAGAGGTGTCTGTGTGGGGATGTTCTGTGTGTCTGTGTGCATGTGTTGCTCTCAGTAATTTGTGAGTGTGCTGATGAATCTGAGGGAAGGGTCAGGAGAGCAGTAACGTGTCTCATGGAGGTATTCTGAAAATCATCTGTAGAGGAAAGGGAAGGGGGTCAATAAAGTAGCTGAGTTGTTCTGGAGCTTTCTTCACTGTCCTGTTTTTTGTTCTTAAAATAAATGTCAGCATGTGCAATGAGGAGAGGGAAAGGATTTGGTTTTGGTGCCTCCTCCAGCCCACTCCTTGCTTTTGGGAAGGCATTTCCCAACCAGGAGGGAGAAAACCAAGCCTTCTATTGGTGTCTATTGGCCTATTCTTTACAAGTCTTGTGTCTTTTCCTTCTTTTCCTTTCTGCTGTCACAGTTGCCACCCGAAAGTCAGTGCGCCCATTTTTGCCAGTCAGGAAACTGCCTGTTTGCAGGGCAGTATCTGTGTGCATGCTTATCTTTGCAGCTATAATCACAGAATCACAGAATTGTAGGGGTTGGAAAGGACCTCTAGAGATCATCGAGACCAACCCCCCTGCCAAAGCAGGTTCCCTACACCAGGTCGCACAGGTTGGCATCCAGGCAGGTCTTGAACATCTCCAGAGAAGGAGACTCCACCACCTCCCTGGGCAGCCTGTTCCAGTGCTCCATTAACCTCACTGTAAAGAAGTTCATGTGCACATTTGTGCGGAACTTCCTATACTGCAGTTTCCGGCCATTTCCCCTTGTCCTGTCTCCACTCACCACTGTAGAGACATTGGTCTCACCACTATGGCCCCCACACCTCAGATATTTATAGACCTGGATCAGGTCCCCTCTCAGTCTTCTTTTCTCAAGGCTGAACAGACCCAGTTCACTCAGCCTTTCCTCATAGCAGAGATGCTCCAGGCCCTTCATCATTTTTGTGGCCCTCCGCTGGACTCTCTCCAAGAGATCCCTGTCTTTTTTGTGCAGGAGAGGCCAGAACTGGACACAGTGCTCCAGATGAGGCCTTACCAGGGCAGAGCAGAGGGGGAGGATCACATTCATTGACTTGCTGGCCACGCTCTTTTCAATGCACCCCAGGATGCCATTGGCCTTTTTGGCCACCAGGGCACACTGCTGGCTCATGGCCAACCTGTCGTTCACAGGGATGCCCAGATAACAAGTGTGCAGTGCAGCTGTGAGCCCCCAGCCACATACAACACCTTTAGAAGCAGAAGGCCCCTGTGCTGTTGAGGGGCTCCTTCCTTCCCCCCACACATCTCCCTGCAGCTCCCTGGCTCTGCTGGACAGCCCTTTACACTTCAAAGGGATGGGATCCAAATGAATCAGTTGAGGCATCTTATCCTCAGGTTGAAGTCCTGGGTCCTGGAGGGAGTCAGCTCCCTCCCATGCCTCCCATACACCCAGTCAAACAAGTACTGACCACACATTTGGCCACAAGCTTCCCTCCTCTTCCACAGGCTTCCTTCTCCTCCATCTACATTAATTCCCATCTTTGTCTGGTGCAGTCACTATCACCTTATCAGCTCTCACTGACTACATTTCCCTCTTGCATCCCCACACTGCTATCCCCATGCTGGCTGTGCCTCCCTCTGCCTGACAGAGCTGCCATCTGTGTCACAGGGGTTGTGCCGCACTCACTGACATCTCTGTGTCTGCTGTAATAAAAAATGCCCTTAAATATGACAACTCCTTTTTAGGACAGTGCTCCTGGAAAACTGAGACCTCCCTCATGAACAGTTCAAGTCTTGAAGACTTGAGGGAAATGCCTTGTTAGGTCTTTCTGCACTGTAATGAGCCCCATAGTGATGTAGTGTAGTGTCCATGAACTTCAGGTACTGAGAGAAGACGGCTGTAACCAAATGATGAAGGTGCAGTCAGAACGCTGTCTAGAAATGTTGGAGAGTGTTGGAGTATTAATTGGTCCCTGTGGAGCCATTACCAACAAAGCCTCCCCACATCCATGTTAGAGCAGATAATTGGAGGCTGTGATTCCTGGCAGGCAAAGGCCCTGTGCAGGTGCTTTGAGACTGAGGCAAGCCCTTGGTTTGTCTGATGCAACAGAAGGGTAGGGCCATAGCTGCAGCCTCTGGGAAGGGTGGTCCTCTCCCTCCCTGATAGCCCAAGGCTCTCACACGGTCAGTGGGACATGGGTGTAGAGCGGTGTGTGAGGGAGAATGACAGACACCTACTGGCCTCCCTACAGGGCTGTAAGGAGGCAAGGAGGCCCCCGTGGCACAAGGACAACGTGTGCCCTCCTGAGCCTCAGCAGCAGACACAGCTGCCACATCCTAGAAGACAAAGACCTTGGTTTTCTTTTGGGTCCCTTCAGCCTTGCCAATGCTGCTGGCCATCTCCACCAGAGGCTGTTCCATGCAGTCCTACACTCACCTCCTTTCCCCTGCAGGCTGCAGACACTCACCTTGACTCCTGCACTGGCACTCACCTGGCATTGCCTTACTCTGATGGTTCTGCAGTCTCACTAGTTGTTCCTTGTGACACAACAGCATGGACTGATCACAGAGTCCAGATGGGTGTCTGTCTTGCTCCAATTTATTGGAGGGAGAGGAGGTTCTTTTATTATCTATATACCCGGCATGAGATTAAGAAGCAACGGTTCAAATGTTGGTCCGACCAGTTTATTACAAATGTTAATTAGGGAGATGGGGAAGGGGAGGACGGACACTATTACGAATTAGGGTGATGGGGAAGGGAAGGAGGGCGATGGGAAAGATGGGAAAGAAGAAGCAAGGAGTCTTTATAGGAAGCAAGAGGGAGATAGTCACCACCATGGATCCAGCGAGGTTCGTAGTTCAGTCTTTGCTCTTCAGTAGTGGTGTGTCATCAGGCAGAGTCATTCTATTGACGATGACCACGACGAATGATGGCCCCTTTTCAGTGCTTTCAAAGTGGTCGAGTCAGGTGTCTTTGGAGTGACAGCTTCAATCCAAAGTGGTTGAGTCAGCTCTCCTTGGAGTGGCAGCTTCTGGCTCTGGGATCTCAGCAGCAAATTCCTTTGTTCCTATCTTCCTGGCCTTGCCAGCAGATAAGAGGGAGCAGGGAGACACCAACTTGTATCTTGCCTTCACAGGATGCAATGGCATCGTCCCCCAGTGACAACATCCCTCAGCCCTTCTCTGCCACACTGAATTCCCCTCTCTTGCCTCTTTGGACCTAGTTTAAAGACTTGGAAATCATTCCAGAGAGCTTGCTCCCCAGCACACGTGTGCCCCGCTTGCTCAGTCGGGCTCCATCAGGAGCCTACATACCCAGTTTCTCAAAAGCCTTCACAAGATCAGAATACCCAAAGCCTTGATCACAACGCTGCCCCTTCAGCCAGGTAGCAAATGGGAGCCTCAGTGCTCGCCAGCCAGGGGCCCCCAATTGCTGAGACTGTCCATCCTTTTTTGGTGGCACTGATATTGATGCAGTGCCCTGTCTGGCTCTCTGCCCTGCATTCTAAATGTTCTTCTAGGGGCATGAGTTCTGACTGCACAGTTTTGCATTTCCTCACTCAAAGAATGTGAGACATTGTCACTGTAGATAACAGCAGCAGTAGGAAGTTTGAGAAGCAAAATGACTGCCCTCACACTGTATTTTGCCCACTGACTGATTTTTAGTCCCCTAAACAAGCCAGAGAGTACTTCTGCTCCTGTGAGCAGAACTGTAAGCTCCATTCCATCCAGTCCACCAATACCAGTATCACCAGCAACACCACAGCCATCCATCACACACAGCACACCCGTCACAGGACCGTTCCCACCACCTCTCACTCATGCTGATGATGCTGCAGCACACAGGGCCTCCAACTTTGGAGGCCAATGCGAAAAACCAGTAACACCTAACAGCCTTGCACATGGGCACCTGGGGGGCTGGTTGTTCCTTTGGGAGCTCTGTCTGTGCCTGTGTTGATTCCATGGGTGCAGAGGTGACCTATGACACAGAGGGCACAGCTCTCTGTGGGGCGGATGCAACTACTGGTAGAATTCATCAAGACAAAGCCTCCCAAGTGAACATCCACCCTGAGAATGGAAGTCCCCCTCCTCCATGCCCACCATTCCACCACCACAGGGAAAACAAACCACTGTGGCACCTGAAGTGCTCCTGTTCCTCTAGACAGGTCACTGCAGTCACACCTCTGCAGGGACTCTCATCTGCAACACAAGGACTTTCCCCAGAGCAGAGGGAAAGCAGGGAAGCAGGAGGAGTGGAAATAATGGAAACTTAGCTTAACTAAATGGAAATAAATGTGACATGTGACACAATATTAGGCGGAATCTGCAGTTAAAAAAATGTTTTTAGGGAGTGAAAGTGGAAAATTGTTTTTTATTTTCATTTCAGGGAAGACCTGCACAATATTTCTCAGAATAGAAATGTAAGATGAAAACAAAAAAAAGTGAAAATGCTGTTTGGGGAAACGTAAAAGGGAAGGGCAGACACATGCCTGATACCACATGAAAGGAATTATTGGATGCAGTTGAAAAGTAAATCACCCTAACTCTTGGCTGAGCCGTTGTCTCCTGTTCGTGGTGATCCCAATATCTTGAAGCTTCCTGCTCCCTCCCCACACATTTTCTCTTGGAGCTGTGTGTTGGCCCGTCCTCTGTGGCCCTGCTGTACCTCTCTTGCACCAGACCAGGCCCTGCTTCCTGGGATGGAGGAAGCAGCACACCTCGGTGCAGCAATCATCATCTCCTTGCAGCTTGCTGGGGGGTCAGGAAGCCTTCAGAGAACCTCACCTGAAGACATGGGCAAGCTCCTGCTGGCTTCACTAGCTCACCAAAATCAACTCCACATCCTGCCAACTGCATTCCAAGCACAGCAGCTTTACCAGAGCACAGCAAATGTGAAGGATCTGCTGTGGGAGATCTCAGACGTACCTTGCCAAGGTCAAATCAAAAACCTTCAAGCTCAAAAGGTATCACTTGCAAGGCAAGCATGCACAGGAGAGCACTCTGATATCTCTGTGCTGTGGGGATGAGCTGCTTGTGCACCATGTGGGTTTGCGCTGCCTTCTGCTGCCACCACCTCCTGAAACTTGGAGAACAAGCTCAGCTTTTTGTAGTTTTATTGGAGGCAAACAAGGTTTGGTGTCACACAGCTGCTCTGTGCAACACAGTTAGGAAGGATGATAGGGTTGTGTGAAAGAAATGTCTTCCCCAGAAGCAAGCACTGGGCTGGAGGAGGCACCAGAACCAAATCCTGATTGCACCTTTCCCTCTCCTCATTGCACATGCTGACATTTATTTTAACAACAAAATGCAAGACTGCAGTGAAGAAAGCTTCAGAACAACTCAGCTACTTTATTCACCCCCTTCCCTTTACAGATGATTCTCAGAAAACCTGCAAGAGCCACATTACTGCTCTCCTGAGCCTTCTCTCAGATTCATCAGAGCACTCACAAATTACTGAGAGTAACACATGCACACAGACACATAGAACATCCCTACACAGATGCTTCTCCTTAGGAAACGGCATCAAAAAGCTGCTGTCAGGAAGAGCAGAAAAAACTGGGCATGCTTTACCCAACTGCTTTGGGTAGCAAGAGAGACCATCTGAAGCTCCTGGGTTAAGTCCCTTCTGCAGAGGGTGCCAGTGATGCCATCTCCTTTGCAAAAAAGTCCTGTGTGGGGAAAAGCATCCGAGTCTCCCTCATCCTTGGGCTTAACAGCATCCTCATTGTCTCTCCACTGGGGGTTTTCCCATGAGAAAGGAGTTGCCAGCCCAGACAGAAATTTCCTGCACTAGGGACACTTGCAGGGCCACTTTATCACATGGACTGGACAATGTTTAGTAAGGATCGAGCTCTGGATGAAGCTCTTCCTGCAGTGCAGGCATTTCTAGGGTCTCTGCACTCAGTGGATCCCCTGGCAAAAGCTCTGCCCACACATGGGACATTTGTAGCACTTCTTCCACGAGTGCCATCTCCTGTGAGTGAGGAGCTCTGCACTCTGCACAAAGCCCTTCTCACACTCGAGGCAATTCTAACACTTCCTGCCATGTGAACTCACTGGTGCAGGCTCTGGACAAACCTCTTCCTGCAGTCACGGCACTCACTGGGACTCTCCTCTGGTCGACTGAGGGTTGAGCTCCAGATGAAGCTCTTCCCACACTGCCTGCAGACAGGATTTCTTCCTTCCTGGTGACGTATCAGCCCAGCTGAGGTTTCCTTTGGGTCCTCACCTGCTGCCCCACAGGACAGGAGTTTCTGCAGGGGAGGTAAGAGGTGGCTCTCCTTGCACGCAGACCTGGCAGACAGATCCCACTCTGGATTCTCCTTTGCATGGCCACTCAACACAGCAACTGCAGCTGAAGGACAGCAATATGCGTTATTCTCATGCAAAGAAGAAGAAAGAGGATTGAGTTTGGCCACAGAGCTCTTCCTCTACTCAAGAGATTTGTAATGTTCATCACCACACAAAGCCACAGGTGGTCATCATGCTGGGGCTCTGGCTGTAGCTCTTCCCACCTTTGGAGCTCTGCAGGTTCTGTATCTTGTGTGGATGTGTTGGTAGGTAATGAGGCTCGAACTGCTTTTGAAGGCTCCCCATATCTTGTGATTGTTCTACAGCCTGAATGCACTGTGGACGTGCTTGTGGGTGTTGAGATTAGACCTTCTTGTGAAGCTCTTCTCACACTCAGGACATTTATAGGGTCTCTCCCCTGTGTGGACGCACTGGTGGCGTTTTAATTCACAACCGCTTCTGAAGCTCTTCCCACACTCGGGACACTTATAGGGTTTCTCTCCTGTGTGAAAGTGCTGGTGGTAGGTTAGGTGGGAACTGCTTTTGAAGCTCCTCCCACACTCAGAGCACTTGTAGGGTTTTTCATCTGTGTGGATGCTATGGTGTGACTTCAATTCAGAACTGCTTCTGAAGCTCTTCTCACACTGAGGACATTTGTAAGGTCTCTCCCCTGTATGGATGCGCTGGTGTATCTTTAAATCAGAACTCACTGTGAAGCTCTTCCCACACTCAGAGCACTTGTACGGTTTTTCACCTGTGTGGATGCGGAGGTGCAACTTCAAAGAACAACTTCTCATAAAGCTCTTCTCACACTCAGGACAGTTGTAAGGTCTTTCCCCTGTGTGGATGCGCTGGTGCCTCATTAAATCAGAATGGCTTGTGAAGCTCTTCCCACACCCAGAGCACCTGTAGGGTCTCTCTCCTGTATGGATACGCTGGTGGACAATGAGGAGGGATCTCCATTTGAAGCTCTTCCCACAATCAGAGCACTTGTATGGACTCATTGCTGAGCGCATGCACTGGTGGTTAACAACGATGGAATCTTTTTCAAAGATTCGCACATCTGGGATCCAGGGCTCTTCCCCTCTTTCAAGCAGGGAGATCACCATGGGTTTGGGGGCTGGAAGTGGAGCTTCAATGAGAAAAACAGGGGAGATGAGAACAATTCTATCATTCTGGCACAATGCCTGTTCAACAGCTCCACTCTGTGACTCTCTCAGGGAGAAACCACACTCTGGGCCTGAATGACACTGGGCCCACAGTTTCCTTTGGAGCAAAGAATGCTTATACAACTCTGAAAACTCCAAAGGGATATTTTCTTTAAAATGAACTTGAGAAGAGTTTGTTCATTTTCTGACAATACATCAATGACCAAAGCATCAAAATGTTTATGCAAATTAATGCAAAATCCTACATTGTAAAGGACTAAGCAGGGAGTCACCAGTTAGCTGGAGCTGGTGGCAACATTTAATGCAGCAACGGAAGGCCTGGTTTTCTCTATCCTGGCTGATGCCTGCTTGCCAGCACTGACTCTGGGGCGTTTATGAGTCTGCTGTGCATACTAATCCCTTCTGAAACTCATGCTTCTCAGTATTTCTTTTATTCCTGTTGTAGTTATCTATATGTGACTGCATGGCAATTTTGCTAGGCAGGGCCTGCAGAGGCTCATTCTGCACAGCCAAAGGCGCCCTAACGAGGAGGAAAGGCAGCAAAGCCCTCACCCAGCGAGGCCACGCACTGGTACGTCTCCAGCATCACGTCCCGGTACAGCGCTCGCTGCGCAGGGTCCAGCAGCGCCCACTCCTCCCTGCTGAAAGACACGGCCACCTCCGCAAAGCTCACGGGCTCCTGCAAGCAAAGAGGCTCCTTGCTGGGAACAGCCAAGGCCCAGGGAAGCAGCTCACACAGGACACAAACTCCCGTCCCAGCCGCTTCTCTGGCCCCAGCACACACACGCTGGCTGAGGCCACCTTCCCTCTCCCCCTGCATTCACATCCTTCGCCCCTCGGCCTCTCCTGCCTGCTTCCCCCAGCCCCTACCTGAGATGCATGTGCTGTGGCCATCTGCTGCTCTCCTGCAGCTGAAATGATCACGGCTGGATGGCAGAAGTTTCACTGGAGCCTGCAGGGACAAGAGAAATGGCAGGGGAGCTGTGAGGGAACGCAGCAGTCCCTGTCCCAGCCCAGCCCTCCACAGCCCATCTGCAGGGCACTGCCTGGGGGATGGCACAGCAGGCCTTGCACAGGAACACAAGCAGCAACAGCACTGGTAACGCTCTGGCTGAAGCTGATTACAAATCACAAAGCTGACTCCAACTGGGTGGCACAAAGAACTGACACCACGTTCAACAGGTGAGAGTACATGGACTGTGTGCCTAAAGACAATGCATAGCAAGGAGGCAGTCATCTTACCCCTAAACAGGGAGCAGCCCAAGTGTCCCTTGAGCTCTCCTGCACAGCCAGGGCTGCATGACAGGATCTCCCCACAGTCAGGGATGGCTCTCAATTTCACACCTCTACAGAGATCCCACTCAGCTTCATGTCAAGACACCTTGCTGACACAGGTCTTCTGTAAGAGACCCAGGATTCGTTTGGAGCTTTGTGAGCTTCTCTAAGGTGATGTGCTACAGTGAAGATCTCAAGGTATTCACAAAAACATAGAATGGCCTGGGTTGAAAAGGTCCTCAATGACCATCTAGTTTCTACCCTCCTGCTATGCGCAGGGTCACCATCCACCACACCAGGCTGCCCTGAGACACATCCAGCCTGGCCTCGAATGCATCCAGGGATAGGACATCCACGACCTCCCTGGGCAACATCTTGCAGTGTGTCACCATTCTCTGACTGCAAAACATCTTCTGAATCTAACCTAAATCTCCGTTGTCTCAATTTAAAACCATTCTCCCTTGTCCCATTACTATACACGCTCGTAAAAAACCGTTCCCCCACTAGTTTATGCTTTTCTTTCACGTCCTGGAAGGCCACAATGTGGTCTCCCCGGAGCCTTCCCTTCTCCTCGTTAAACAAGCCCAGTTCCTCCATTGCACCAGGAATGCCTCGGCGGCTAAATTTCCCTCCTCTCCCACCAGGGGGAGGAAACTGGGGGCTGCCGTGGGCGGGGGAATGAAAGTTCCCCCCTTGGAGGCTTTGCATTCAGACACTCAAAAGGAGGCATCGGGGAGTTGAAAGCTTCCATCAATCAATCCATGCGTGCAGAGGAGCAGAGCGAGGTCATCTCGTGTCTCCCATGGCCCACAGGGAGAAACGCAGTCCCAGCTGGGCTGTGTTACAGAGAACCGACCGGGCAGCAGAGCGCGCTGAGCTCCTCTGCTCACTTCCTCGCTGTCCCAGCTCCAACCCCTTCCCGTGCCCCTCGGAGCCCAAGCCGGGCAGCAACACGCCTGGGACCCGCTGCTCCCGTCCCCTCGTGGTGCTGCTCGCCAGGGGAGGGAGAACTTCCTGCAGCTCGCAGACAGTCCCACACAGCGTGAGGGATGGGTACAAAAAAGCACACAGATCAACGAGAGTAAGGGATACAAGCAACCAAAAAACAACTACTACGAAACAAAATCGAATTAGTATTAATACCGCTTGACGATAAGAAGTCTGTCCCCTGATTTAAAAAGAACCCGATTCGTTCTTGACCTCCGAAAGCTGCAGGTCATCTACTAGTCCTCAAGGAGTGCTGCAGCCCTCCCCAGTCCCTGCTTCGAAATGGGGTTCAATATGAAGAGAAAAATGCCTGCAGCTGCTCTGCACGAGCCGCGAAGGGCTCCTACCTTGGGTGCGGAGCAGGCTGCTCCCGCCTCTGGTGCAGGCAACCGGGCTCCTGGGAGTCGCGGAGAGCAGAGGCTGCCGAGTGCCCTCAGCCCGGAGCTGGCCGCAGCACGGCCTCGCTGCTCCTCCTGCCACCGCCGTGCTGCCCGGACGGCTTCCGGCCAGGCTCTGGCCGCTTCGGCACAGCCTCAGGTGCAGGCAGCAATTCCCACAGCGAGCACGGCCCGAGCCGGCTGCCGGGCCTTGGGCAGTTTCACAGCGCGTTCTCATGGCACATCTGGACCCGGGGGAGGGAAGGATGGGAGCTGTATTACTTTTTGCTGCAAAGCTTGTATTTTTTTGGCTGCTGTATTTTTTTGCTGCAGAGACTAGCTTCTGAGCAGTTAAGTCTGCATTGGCAAGGGATCTGGAGTAAAGAAAGAGCAACCAAAAAGCTCTTTTTAAGGCTTTTTTAAAGGCTTTTTTAAGGCTTCTTTGAGGCTAGCATCAGCAATGCGCTTGTGCTGGGAGCCAGCAGCTTGTGGGCAGGCTCCTGAGTCTTCAGGGGTGGAGCTGCTATATTAGCGGCACGGTTTAAATACCCACCCTCACCTTCACTCCTGATAGCTAGCTTCCACCCACGAGGTGCATCAGGTGAGAAATCATTGTTTGTGCTCACTGAGAAAGGGGAGGTTCAGTGAGTGAGTACAGCCCACGCTTCCCATAGGGTGCTACATCTGTGAGCTATTTGCTCAGGAGACCAGCTTTCCTTGGCAGTCCCTGAGGCCCCAGGCTGAAACATGGTCTCCACTAGACAGTGGTCTCATTCTAAGAAGACTGTGGCAACCATGATGGAAATCTTGCTGAGAAATGTTGCTGTTCAGGCCTCTGGCTGCAATGAGTGCCTGAGCCTACTTCTGCCTGGGGGAGTGGCAGGGACTTCACCTGTATGAGGTGTGGGCAGGTGGATGAGCTGCTCAGCCTGGTGGTGGAGCTCAAGGATGCGGTGCAGCAACTTAAGACCATCAGGGAGTGTGAACGGGAGATCGACTGGTGGAGTGACTCACTGGCTTACCAGAGGGAAGGGCTTTGGGAGAAAAAGCCCAGACAGGTGGTGGACCCCCTATCCTGTCACAGTTGGACAGACCTCACTGATGAGGAAGGTTGGAAGAGAGTCCCAACTCGGTGTCACAAGAGACACCCACGCCTGCCCAGCCTGCTTCCACAACTCTGAGTAACAGGTTCCAGTTGCTGGAAGTTGAAGGGAGGTGACTGGAGAAGAGATGGAAGATCTGCCTAGGAGAGAGCCTAGGGCGAGGCGGTCTCCCCCATAGCTTGAGACTGCCTCTGACAGGAAAGAAAGAAGGGTGGTCGTGGTGGGTGACTCCCTTCTCAGAGAAGCGGAGGGCCCCATATGCACACCTGACCCGGGCTGTCGGGAAGCATGCTGCCTTCCTGGGGCTTGGGTCATGGACACAACCAAGCAACTCCCAAAGCTGGTTAGATTATCTGACTACTTTCCACTACTCGTAGTTCAGGTGGGCAGTGATGAAATCGCTCAGACAAGCCTACGCACGATGAAAAAAGATTTCAGGGGTTTAAGGCATTCAGTTCAAGGAGCAGGAGCTCAAGTGATCTTTTGCTCTATACCTTCAGGGGCAGTGAGGGACTGTGAGCAGAATGGGAAAGCACAGGCGATGAATAATTGGCTCAGAGGCTGGTGTCGAGCCAGAAATTTTTGGTTCTTTGATCATGGGGCAGTTTACTCAGCCCCTGGCTTGTTGTCTGTCCATGGAACCCACCTGTCTCAAAGGGGACAACGAATACTAGCACACGAAGTAGCAGGGCTTATTGAGAGAGCTTTAAAATAGCTATGAAGGGGGAAGGGGACAAAACAGGCCTCTCAAGAGATGAGCCTAGGGGAACGATGCTTGAGCTGGGGTGAGGCAGATGACTCGTCTGAAATGTGTCTATACCATGCACGCAGCATGAGCAACAAGCAGGAAGAGTTGGAAGCGATTGTGAGTCAGGCTAATTATGACCTTGTTGCTATTTCTGAAACATGGTGGGACCACTCCCATGACTGGAGTGCTGTGATAGATGGCTACAAGCTCTTCAGAAAGGATGGATGAGGAAGGAAGAGTGGTGGTGCTACCCTTGATGTTAAAGGCTGTTTGAAGGTTGAAGAGCTTGGGGTTGGGAATGATAGAGTGGAGTGTGTATGGGTAAGGATCGGGGGAAGGCCTGTAGGGGTGGCATCTTGGTAGGGGTCTGTTATAGACCACCTAATCAGGACAAAGAGTTGGATGAGGCATTCTATGAGCAGCTCATGGAAGTCATGGGATCACCAGCACTTGTTCTGATGGGAGACTTCAACTTCCCTGATATATGTTGGAAATATAATATAGCACAGAGGAAGCAGTCCAGGAGGTTTCTAGACTGTGTGGAAGATTGCTTCCTATGCAACTGGTAGGAGAGCCTGCCAGGGGCGGTGCCCTGCTGGACCTGGTCTTCTCCAACAGAGAAGGACTGGTGGCAGAAGTGAAGGTTGGGGACCGTCTTGGGCAGAGTGACCACAGAATTGTAGAATTCTCCATTCTTGGGGATGTCAAAAGAGTGACCAGCAAAACTGCCTTCTTGAACTGCCAGAGGGCGGACTTTGACCTGTTCAGGGCGCTTGTAGCATGGGCCCCTTGGGTCGCTTCTCAAGGGTAAAGGAGCCCAGGAAGCCTGGAAGCTCCTCAAGATGGAAACCTTAAAGGTGCATGACCAGGCTGTGCTGAGTGCCGTAAGGCGAGCTGAAGGGGAAGACGAGCGGTGTGGATGAGCCGGGAGTTACTGTTGAGACTCAGGGAGAAAAAGAGAGTCTACGCCCTCTGGAAGAAGGGACAGGCTGCTTGGGGAGATAACAAAGAAGTAGCTAAGGCTTGCAGGGAGGAATTTAGGAAGGCAAAAGCCCAACTTGAGCTCAGGTTCGCCACTGCAGTAAAAGACAATAAAAAATCTTTTTCTAAATATATTAATGGCAAAAGAAAAACCAAAGATAATTCTCATCCTGCACTTGATGCAGCAGGGAATGTGGCCACTATGGACAAAGAAAGGGCTGAGGTCCTCAATGCCTTCTTTACATCTGCCTTTAACAGCCAGATCAGTCATCCTCTGGGCTTTTTATGCCCTGATCTGGAAGTCTGGGACGCTGCTCAGAATTTGCTCCCAGCAATTCCGGTGGAGACAGTCAGAGAGTTTCTCCTCCGTCTGGACTGTCACAAGTCCATGGGACAGGATGGGCTGCACCCTCGGGTGCTGAGGGAGCTGGTGGGGGTGATTGCCGAGCCCCTCTCAGCCATCTATCAATGCTCCTGGTTAACTGCTGAGGGCCCAGAGGATTGGAGGCTTGCTGATGTGACTCCCATCTTCAAGAAGGGCCGTAAGGAGGATCTGGGGAACTAAAGGCCTGCTAGCCTGACCTTGGTACCAGGGAAAGTAATGGAGCAAATCATCTTGGATGAGATTGCACGGCATGTGCGCAGTGTCCAGGGGATCAGGCCCAGCCAGCACAGATTCGTGAAAGGCAGGTCGTGCTTGACCAGCCTCATCTCCTTCTATGACTGGGTGAGCAGTCTGGTAGATGAGGGAAGGGCTGCTGATGTAGCCGACCTAGACTTCAGCAAAGCCTTTGACACGGTCTCTCACAGGCTTCTTGTGGGGAAACTGGCTGCCCATGGTCTGAACAGGTTTACGCTTCTTTGGGTAAGGAACTGGCTGGAGGGCCGTGCCCAGTGGGTAGTGGTGAATGAGTGAAGTCCAGCTGGCGACCCGTTTCAAGTGTTGTTCCCCAGGACTCGGTATTGGGGCCCATCTTGTTGATGGGGGGGATTGATGAGGGGACTGAGTGCACCCTCTGTAAGTTTGCAGATGACACCAAGCTGGGAGGTGGTGTGGATCTCCCTGAGGGTAGGGAGGTCCTTCAGAGGGATTTAGACAGGCTGGATCACTGGGCTGAGGTGAATGGGATGAGGTTCAACAAGGCCAAGTGTCGGGTCCTGCACTTTGGGTACAATAACCCTATGCACAATAACCCCATAACCCATATAGGCTTAGGGATGAGTGGCTGGATGACTGTGAAGAAGAGAGGGACCTGGGGGTGTTGGTTGATGTTCAGCTGAACATGAGCCAACAGTGTGCCCAGGTGGCCAAGAGAGCCAACAGCATCCTGGTCTGCATTAGAAATAGTGCAATGGAAATAGCACTATTAGCACTAATAGCATGGAAATGGAATGGAAATAGCCAGCAGGAGCAGGGAGGTGATCATCCCCCTCTACTCAGCACTGGTGAGGCCGCACCTCGAGTTCTGTGTTCAGTTTTGGGCTCCTCACTACAGGAAAGATGTTGAGGTCCTGGAGCGTGTCCAGAGAAGGGCAAGAAACTGGTGAGGGGTCTGGAGCACAAGTCTTATGAGGAGCAGCTGAGGGAGCTGGGATGGTTCAGTCTGGAGGAGGCTCAGGGGAAACCTCACTGCATTGTACAACTTCCTGAAGGGAGGTTGTGGAGGAGAGGGATGTGGCCTCTTCTCCCAGGCAACAAGCAGGACACAGGGAAATGGCTGCAAGTTGTATCAGAGGAGGTTTAGATTAGACATGAGGAAGAACTATTTCTCTCACAGAGAGGTCAGGCAGTGGAATGGCTGCCCAGGGAGGTGGTGGAGTCACTGTCTCTGGCAGTGTTCAAGAGGTGTCTGGATGATGTGATGTGAGATGTGGTTTAGGGCTTGTAGTTAGAATGGTGATGAGGAGAAGGTTGGACTGGATGATCTTGTAGGTCGTTTCCAACCTTGTGATTCTGAGATGATTTTATGATTCTATGTGCTTTGTTACGGCTGTGATCACAGCAAAGATCAGAGGAACATCCCCTGCAGAAAGGTGTGTAGAATTTAAACATTGCCACGAGAAACTTGGAGCCCACTTTTGCCCCAC